AAGGGATATTAAAATACAAATCTTCAGATAATCAAAATATAATAGGATTATTAAACCGGTATACATTATGTCGCATGTGGATGATGGCAAAAATTTGCTATGATCGTCATTTGAGTGACGTGAAAAATAAAAACCGCACGTCGCCCGAAAAGCAAACTATAAACATCCCATCTTTGACGAGGCAAACGCAAAACGTTCGTCATGGTGACATAACCTACCACAGTTATTTATTGTAATGGAAAACGGTCACTCGAATGACGTGGCAAATGCAAAATTCACGTCACTCGAATGACGAGGCAAATGCAAAACTCACGTCACAGCTAATAAGTAGGTAACAGTCTAATCATAAGTAGGTAACAGTCTAACGTAAGTAGGACGCAATATATATATATTGCGTCCTACTCAGACATTGAAGCATGCACACTACCTTGAATACTTTTACAGTCATTCTCACATTCCTTGTGTACACAAGGCTAATTTGACCTGCCACGCCCTATGGATACAATGATGTAACAGAATTCCAGGGGGTCCTGGAGTTTATCAAAGCTGCATCATCATCAAGGACACCTTCACTAATCTTCCCTCACAGCACCTGACCAGAGGATTTTTGCTTTTTGTTGGGCAATAGCACACTTTCATAATGCTTTCTTTTTCTAAAAATTTATTATTTTTCTTTCCTCTTGGTAAAATTTCATGGGTAGCACATTCTTTTCTTAGATAAGCTTCAAGTGTCTAAGTATCATTTATTTTGAAAATGTAAAGATCAAAATACTTCTAATGGCACTACTATTGATCCCTGAAATTCTTGGTAATACCAATGTTCACTTTGTCTAGTTTTGTTGCAGCATTGCCCATGTATAGTATTTTTATTATTATTTTAAAAATACTCATTAATTACACATTAAAATATAAATTTCATTTCCAATTTCATATTTGATCTCAACATTGAAATCAACAATAGATGGAAAATGATATAAAATTTTTTTTGGAATTACTATTATTTGTTAGTAATCAGCTGTGATCATGAATGAATCTATTCAGTCCCATTAAATCCAAATGTCTAAAAACACAAAAAGAGAAGATTAAATATATATTTTTTAAGGAAAATATTATATACAGAAAGGTTCTTTTTACGGAATATACAGAACCTACCAAAAATGGCAATTCATTCTACAAAAAAGGAAACTAAATTGTAGCTCAAAATTTTTTGTAAAACCTACGTGACATTTATCGATGATGTGATGATTAAATTTGTGGGCTGGGAGTGGCAGGGATTACAGAGTTTTTAGCAACTCTAAGACTTAATTCTTATTTGTCACATAGGTTCTGTATATTTCATAAAAAGAACCTTTCTGTATATAATTTTACCCTAAAAAAAATTGGTCTTTGAGGAATTAATTAGTAAGATGGAATTCTGGATGACGATGAACTTTCATTTATAACTTCAACATTTTCCAAATAACAACTATAACATAAAAAAAACTATAGAAATAATAAACTCTCATAATATAATGTATCAATAAATCAACAGTAATGTTACTACTGATTTTGTGATGAAAAAAAATTTGTAGCTATTCACTGGATAATTATCAAAATTTATAATATTTAATTGTCCTCCACAAACAAATTCATCAATGTTTTTGTTTTGATAATCATGTTGAGGTTTTAATTACATGTATTGAAGCCATCAACTGCTTTAATTGACAATTTCTGAACTCTTTATTATTATATCTAATGTATGCTGTGGTTGACTGAAACATTCACATGGCTTTAATTTTATTGTCTCACAAGGATATTTTCTTTGCTAGAAATTGTAAAGCAAGAGGAAAAGATTGAATACACTATTGTATAATTTGTGCCTTTTGCTTATGATGGGTAGTGATGTGCAAGGACTTTTCTTGTTAAATTGCAATTATATTGACAATAAACTATTTTGGATAAATTGGTTCTTTATGCTGATGATTGTTGTAGATAGACTGAATACAAAGGGCATCATATAAATTTTCCTAGCATGTATTATATAATTCATCATTAAAAGGTTCATTACAGCTTTCAATGAGTTTGAAACTGAGACAAATTGGCATACATTTATGCTCTTGCTTAAAGATGATATTATTCATAAGCATTGAATTGGGCTATATGGGACCTTTTCTAGCAAAAACGGTCTTCCATAAAAATAGATTTTTTTTGGGTAAATCACAAATTAAAATTGTTACACAAAAAAGGAAAATTGCCCCCTAAAATTTGATACTATTTTTAAACTCGGTGATTGTCAAAGTTATAATATCAGCCGAGATTATTTTATTATAAAATAATTTTTTATAAATAATGTAGTGATTTGTTTTGAAAGTAAAAAGCTTTTAATAAGTTTTATAAGTCAAATAAAATTTTTATAATCAATATTCTATTTAATTATCAAAAATTGCTTCAAAATATTATTAAAAACATGTCTTTAATTAATTCAATACCAGAATATAATTTATTAGAATTTGAAGAATTTGAAGATTATGAAAAAAATGATTTAGTAATTGGTGTAATTGATGATTTAAAATTATTTTCCAAAGTTCTTCTTGCAAATGTGTGAAAACAACAAATGATCCACATAGTTGCTTTGAAAAAATAGGCTTTAAACTTTTTTGAGAGACATTTTGAATTTAAAAGCTTAGATAAAAAAGAAAAAGAACTTTCTATTAAAACACAATTGATGGTTTTTCAATTTGACAATGAAAATATTAGACATAACTATAGATATAAATATAATGAAAAAATACAAATTTGTAAACCTGTGTTTTTAAAACTGTGTGATATTAAAAAAGGTGTGTTAACTGATTTGCAAAAACATTTATTAACAAATGGTTTAGAAGATCATCAACATGGTAATATGAAAAATATTCCTAAACTTAAATCACAAGCATTTGTTGATTTAGAAGTAGCGGAAAGGGTGAAAAATTATATATTAAATTATGCTGAATTACATGGATTGCCATCTCCAATGAGACTTCATGATAATTCAGACCCAATTATTTATCTAGAGACTCAGCATAATTATAGATCAGTTTTTAATGAGTACAAAAAATGTTTTGAGGATAATTTTGCTGGTACATCTATGCAAGATATACAGTATATAACTTTTTGGAGACTTTGGAATCAATTAACACCAAATATTAAATTTTTAAATGCTTCAAATGATCTGTGTGAGGCTTGTGAAATTTTTAGATTAAAATTGGTAACATCAAGTAATGGTGCAAATGTTGAAATAAAATTTGATTATGAAGAACATCTTACAGCAGCAGATCATGAAAGACAACATTATAATAAAACTATTGAAAAATGCAAAAATGATTCACATTTGCTATGATTATGCTCAAAGTGTTTCTGCACCATATTCACCTCAACAAGTTGGTTCAATTTATTTTAAAACTCCTTTTAAAATAAATATTTTTGGTATATGTACTAAAAATGATGAGGATGAAGATTATCAACTAAACTATACTATAGGAGAAGATGAATTGCCAGAAGGAACATCAAAAGGAGCTAATACAACTTTAAATATGGTTTTTGATTTTCTCCAAAAGATTCATCATAATGGTGAAAAAAATTTATATGTGACATGTGATAATGTTCAGGTAAAAATAAGAATAACCTATCACTCTGGTTTTGGTCGTGGTTAATAATGTTGGGTTGGTATGAAAATATATATATAAATTTTATGATTCCTGGGCACACTAAATTTGTCTGTGATGGATTTTTTGGATCAATCAAAAAAGTTTATAGAAATAGATGCATTAATACTGTTGATCATGTTGAAGAAGCTATAAATGATTCAACAACAAAACATAATAATGAATATATTAGATATAAAGGTGGCATGGGTTGGAGATGGCATGACTTTAGTTCACTATTTAAAAATAGGTTTAGAAATTTACCAAATATAACAAAATACCATCATTTTCATTTTAGTAAAGATAATATTGGAAAAGTTTATGTTGCCAAAAATTCTGGTGGCCTGGAAACTCCTTTTGAACTTCTAGAGAATGATAATTTTAATAAAGATGGTCAATTAAATATTTTTGAGGCTGTTCCATTAACAGAAGAAAGAAAAATATATTTGTATACAAAAATTCGCCAGCATGTACAAGACCCATTTAAAGATATTCTTTGTCCAGAACCTAGTACTTATTAAATTTAATTTGTTATTCATTTATTATTATTTCAATATGTATTTTTATAACATTCATTAATTTATTTTATAATAAACGTACATTTTATTTTTTAATTAAATTATTGCGTGTAACAATAAAAAATGGGGTATGTAGATCGCGTGCAAATTACTTTAAAAAGGTATCCGGCCTACAATAGCATAGTAGAAATTCTATTTTGATCGACATTTGCAATTACCGTATTCTCCCGAATATAAGCAACAGTAAGAATTTGCAACAAAAAAACAGAAAAAATAGAAAAATAAATATAAGCAACACCTATATTTTTGAAAATTTTTTATTTGATTTTATATAATAAATAAAAAAATAAGAAAATTTTTTTATTTTGATTATTCTTTTTCAGAATCACCAGACTCTTCCCCTTCTAATTCATCAGCTGAATCATCGTTTCTATCTAGTATTTCACATTCATCTTCCTCATCTTCATTTTCATCCCCATAAGCTTGTCCAAACAAATGATCTTCCGATCCATCAATTGCATTACTAATGCCACACTTTTTAAATGATTTCACAATCATTTCATTCGGAATTTCATCCCAAACCTCCAAAATCCATTTACAAATGACATTATGTTCAGGCTTTCTTAAATTTCCGTTTTTGGTATAGGTGAAATTACCTGAACTCATCCAAGTATTCCACTTTTCACGAAGTCTATCTTTAAATGGTTTGTTAATACAAACATCAAGTGGTTGAACAACAGAGGTAAGATCACCTGGAATGATTGCTAAATCAGTGTTTTCATTTTGTGCAATTTTTTTGATAGAATCTGTCTTGTGGCCTTCAAAGCTATCCATAACAAGTAAAGCTTTTTTTCTTGTAATTCTATTTCCGGGTCTTCTTTTCCAAACCTTATCAAACCAAGCTTTCATTCCAATTTCATCCATCCATCCTTTTGGGTGCATTAGTACAATGATTTGAGAAGGTAAATTCTTTGGCATTCGTTTACCTTTAAAAATGACAATTATTATTACAATGATTTGATGAGAAGGTAAATTCTTTGTAATTTAATTACCTTTGAAAATAACAATTGGTGGTAATTTTGTACCATCTGCAAGAATTATAAGGACACATATAAAACGGTTTTTATCATTTCCAGTTGTTCGAACTTGCACAGTTTTTGCACCATGTTTATCAATTGTTAAATTTCCAACCATATCAAAATAAACAGGAGTTTCATCCATATTTCCAATTTCTGAAAGTTCGTATTCAAATTGTTTTTGTTTTTTTATAATAAATTGTTGAAATTCAAGAAGTTTGATGTCAAGGTGAGCGGGAAGCTTCTGACCAATCTTTGTTTTATGTCTCATTGCAAAATCATACCTTCTAAGAAAGCGATAGAACCAACTTTCTGATGCAAGAAATTTTTCACTGGCACCTGGATAAATATTAGAAAATTGGTTTGCTAAAAGTTCTTTCATGTAAGTTTTAACAATTTTAGGAGTTACAGCAATTCCATCTTGCCGAAATTCAACAATCCATTTTCACTGGCACCTGGATAAATATTAGAAAATTGGTTTGCTAAAAGTTCTTTCATGTAAGTTTTAACAATTTTAGGAGTTACAGCAATTCCATCTTGCCGAAATTCAACAATCCATGCCTTTAATTCAGCTTCAGCCTCAGGATATTTTGCTTTTCTTCCTAAATTATTACCAATTCGTCTTCTCTTTTTTTGTTTTACTAAATCGAGTTCTTCCTCTTGTTTTTGCCAACGAGAAATCATTGAAGGATCAATAGTAAAATGACGCCCAGCTGATCTTAAACCATATTGTTTTGCATATTGCAAAACTTGGAGCTTTTCAGCAACAGAATATGAAGAACGTTTGACTTTTGGCATTGCGTGGGAAAAAAATGAATAAAACTTAACACAAATGATGAAATAAGGAAACATAATGTAACACAAACAAAATCTCCCAAATATAAGCAACACCTGCAGTTTTGTTGACTAAAATGTGTTAAAATGGTGTTGCTTATATTCGGGAGAATACGGTATATATATATAGGAAAAAAAATTTTTATAAGAGCGTGATGTATTTTTAAAAATTTTTTTTTAGACGTGATGCCTTTTTTATAAGATTCTTTATCATGAATAAAAGTAAAAAGGCAGCGTTACCGTTAAATATCTCTCTCACACTCATGAAAAACTCCTTTTGGAACATCAAGAAATATAACGTTTGATTGTTTAATGAATTTTATAAATATTCAGGACTCAATATCACAGTTATTCTTTTATTTCTTGGCGTCAAAGGCTAATATACCAAGCTACCCCAAGGATACAACGATGCAAATTTCCAGGGGGACCCTTGGCTCTGGAACTTATTGAAATTGCATTTTGTTGTCAAGGAGATGTTAAAGTCTCTTACTTGTCTCAAAGTCTACTAACCAACTTGACCGGCTTCCACAACTGTAATGGTTATGTGGAGAGAAGACCGCTTGTTTGTACAAGGAATAGTTTATCAAATCTGATACTTATGGACAGGTTGGCATTGGACATGGATATATCCTGCAACTGTAGTTTCGAATCCACACTGACAATAATATTAAGTGTAGGATCAACAATGACATCACAAACCACAACATTTACTTAAGCAACTCCAACTCTGCTATCTCAATCACCAACACAAAATAACCCAACCAAACTCATCACCAACTCACCTGATTCACAATGACAAGTCACAATACACCTTAAACATATTGGATGTTGTCCAAATGCCAACCTTCCTCCTATGATCAATATCAGATTTGTTCATTTTCATTTTTCAAGGAACTCTATGGCTTGTGATTGTATGCATTTGGGAAGGAAAATAATTATTTAATTATTTTTGTGACCTGAGTTAATTCACAATATCATGTGGCCTTTCCCAAATTGGTTCCTTAATTTTCATTTTGAATGGTCTTGGTATTATCATTACTTGGATGATGCAATTTATTTAATATATCAAATAATAATCACTAATATTATAATGACATGCACAATTTATGGAGACAAATACACTCATTCACATTCAAGGAAACGATTAAAAAGATAAGTAATGACTTGTTTATTGACTCACTAAAAGAGAAATACATAATTATTTAATTAATTTTATATATACAGTGTGTTAAAAAAAAATGGCAGTTTGTAAAATATTCTTTTGAATGAAAAGTAACCAAAACTATAATAAAAATTATACCAGAGAATCAGAGGATCTTAGATTATAGCACATAAAATTTTTGAAGCATATTATTATGTAGACTTTAGAGCAATTATTAAAGAAATTTATGCATTGAATTGTTTTTTCACAATAATCAACTCCTTTTCTAATTGACTAAATTCTAGGAAATCTGGAAGTATGTAAGTTTATATACATAATCCAAAATAATTACATGTTCCAATTATTAGTCTGTATCCTTTTGCTTTGGTCGCTGCTTAAACTTGTTGAAATTGAGTGAACATTTTCGCTTTTTGTTTCTGCTTGCTGGCAAGTTTTCACTTCTTTACCCAAATTAAAAACAAAATATTTTTTCAAATCTAATATTTTTTCTAACCAATTATGAAATAAATTATATATCCTTGAATAAATTGATTTTTGAATATTTGCAAAAAATTTGATTTTCAGTTAGAACACTACTCTCCCTAGCAAGTTGTTATGAAAAATCACATGACTACACTCTACCCTTAAGAAAAGAAAGCAGAATGAAGGTGTACTATTATCTAATAAAGAGCAAGACCTTTGGAAGAAGGTGATAAATGTGTATCTGGTGGTAAAGGATCCATTAATGCATGTACAGTTAATGATTGGTAATCAATCTTCTATGTAAACAGCATTTTTTAATGATTTTTAACATGGGAAAGGAACATAATTAAAACAAATCATTTTTTGTTAGTCAATTCAATTAATAATGGTTATGTTCATTGGATAATTACTAATTGGAATTCCTGGGGATTTCTGACAATCAAAACAATTTCTACATACATAATAATAATAATATAATTACTTCTCTTAGTAGCCGAAATTGCTGAAACACTGAGCAAAAATTAATTAAATTAATTAAACTAGAGTGATAACAAATGGTGATAACCACTATTATTTTTAATAATAACACTTGCCTGCTTTTTTTTGAAAAGCTCTTGTCCTTTTCTTCTTCCCTTCACCCACTTTGGCATTTTTTTTTCAATTTTATTTAATAATAAAACCAGTGTTAATAAATTCTGAATTGTTAACATTAGTTTTAAATTCTTTTGCCATCCAAATATTGACACCATTATTTATTTCAGGTACTTTAATGAACTAGATTATAAAGCTAATAATAATAAAATTAGATAATAATAATTATTATTAAACAATAGTCAGGATTGCATAACATCTAATACAATGATACCTTATCAATTTTAGCCTATTATATAATATGACATACCTGGATCAACTTCATAATTATTTATTTTAGAATGTAGCTTTTGCAATCATAATCTCAATTCTTACATTAACACTTAATAACTAAAAAAGCAAATGGTCTTGATAAAATTATTTGCTTGTGTTAAATTTACAAAAGGGCAAATTTTTTCAACTGCATAACAAGTATGTTAATTCTGCATCTTTTTTTTTTTAGAACATATTTAGCATATGGAAATTTTGTTTGTTATTTTTATAGGGATGAATGATTAATTAATTAGAGGAATTGTTGTTATAGATTATTAGGAAGATTATATTATTCTTATGTGGAGGTTTGAGATAATTATTTATATGGAAAATATTACAAGTTCTTTTCATTTCACTTCATGCCATTAATTGTCAAGTTAATACTAATGTCAGCCAACTGTTCTTTGCCATCTAATTGATGTTTGCTGTCAATGATAGTAATAGTATCATTACAATACATGTATAATATATTATAATAAATTACATTAAAAAATCACAAATAAAAATTAATTTAAAAACCCTAAATCTTGATATTTTTTTAATATTGTCTTTGATTCATCATCATCATCTTTATAATCAAATTCCATTGTTAAAGGTTTGGGTCCTCTCCAATTCTTCATTAGAATATCTAACAAATAGTCATTAATATTAGAAACCAAATCAGTAGAAAATATTGATCCTAAATTTTTTGGCAGTGTTTGATTTAATACTGTTAATATTATATCACAATCAAGTATATGAAATTCTTCTTCACCAGAACAATTATCAAATGTAATACGTTTTAACTTTGTACAACTATTGAGTACTTCCATTAATTCCTGATCTAATCCATCTCCATAAATTATTGATAAATTTTCTAAATTTTTACAAGATTGTGCAATTGATTGAAATAGCTTCCTCATAATTTCGTAATCTAGATTGTTATAACATTCACCATAAACATCCAGATTTTTAAGAGTTTTTCCATTGATATTAATAAAATCAGACAAGTCTGATAAGAATATTTGATATCCATCAATAAATACATCCACAGATTCAATATTTGGTAGTGAAATATTTTTCAAATTTTTTAGTTTATGTCCATAATTAGCAGTTAATCTTAAAGCTTCTAAATTTTTAAATGTTGGTATTAATAAATCATCCAAATTGTTTCCTCCAATAGATTCATAAAGAGTTATTGATTGTGAGTGTGCTAATATTGCTTCTTTGAATTCATCTGGTAAAGTTTGTCTAGATTCAATGACTAAATATTTGATTTTCTTTTGTGCTTTAATTAGTTGTGCCAATTTATATATATTATTATAATTACTATTATTATATACTCTTAATGATTGGATATTTTTACAAACTTTCATTAATTTATCAACAAATATGCTACTACTACTATTATTATTATCAAAACCGAAACAATTTAATTCATAAAGAGTATGAAAGATATTATTAAATCTATGATGATTAAATAACAAATTATAATCTAAACCTATATAATCCCACGTAATAAGATTTTTGATACCTGCTGAATGATCTAAAATAAAATTTATTAATTTATCTTTTAAAATTTGTACACAATCTATTGATGTATCATTTTTTATCAGTTGTATCAGTTGGGATCTATAAGAAAATAATATGGGGTCTGTACTAGGAAAATCGACCTTCCAGACAAAAAATCTATTTTTGGTAACAACCCTTATAAATTTGGTTACACATATGTTTTTAATATACAAAGAAAATATTACAAGCCTTGTATCTCATTTTTCTACTATGCAAATAGGGTCCAATTTTTTCACCAATTGTAAATCCTTTATTAGAGATTATTATTGAGTAAAAAGACAAAAAAAAAAAAAATAGCTGGAAGCTTGATTTTCCTAGTACTACTAAATCTGGTATAATTATGTAATGGTGGCTTCTTCAATAGTTCAAAAGTTAATTCAATGTAATTTCGAGCCAAGAAATCCTTATCTTCTTCCAATAAACAATTAATATTTTTGTACTGTCTTTGTAAAGAAATGGATTTCTCCATA